TTAGAATTCTACCCATTTTATTTCTCAGCAGGGTCCTTCCTCAGACATTACTGCATAAGCTATGTGTTGGTCTTCTAAAAGATGATAGAGTTTACTGCTAATTGTGTAACCAGCTTCTGCCTTTTTTTTTCTTGGGTTATTTACATGCCAGAGACATATAAAAAGTGAAAGTTAAAAGAAAACAATTAATACAAAGGCACAGCATCTCTTTCCAGGTGTGGCTCTTGGCACCTCCATCACTCCATCATGCCTTGAGGCCTTAATAAGCAGTAAGCAACTGAACAAATAAAGCATCAGTAACCACTTGCTTTAGCCCATTTTCGGTTTCTCTGATGCCTTTGTGACCACTGGAGAATTTAATCCTCTTGGTTTATTTTATTTAATCTTCCACCTTTGTGTGCTTGTGTATGAAAGAAAAGAACACGCAATTTTTTAGGTAACTGTTTCTTCCTCCCCAGAAGTCTGGGAAACAGACAGGCTGCTGGCTGTGATGAGGGAAAGTGGAATTAGGGGAGATGGGAGGGAGAGATTGTCTCTGAGTCAACATTAAAAAGTGTTCCTTGGTCCTTCTTCAGAAAAAAGAAAGAAAAAAGTGTGCAGGGAAAGATAGAGTCCCCACTGAATAGTTTTCATCTTGTCTAGATGGGTCTGGTAAAAAGAGGTATTATGATTCAATAGTGAGTAATTGTTATCATGAATAATTGCGACTGTCACAATTGTAAAGACAGAAGTTTTGTAACAAAAACAGGGGAGTAGTTAATCTTACAGTCCAGAAACAGAGGACCCTTCGACCATCAAGGGAGAGGAGCACAAGCGGAATGTGAGACCTTATCCAGAGAAGCCGCAACACCAGAGATGGAGGCAGAGATGAGGACATGGAGTGAGAGAGCAGCTGAGGACTCTTAGATTCATGAAAAGAGAGGAACTGAGAGCTGGCAGCCAGGGGCAGGCTTGCAGAATGTGTTCTTTAGTGGTTTCAATTACTATATATGCCTGGGTGTTTGAAAAAAAAAAAAAAAAAAAAAGCTAAAATGGATAGAGAGAGAGAAATACTGTTAATGGATGGGATTATAATTATTGTAATGAAACAAAGGATATGATTTGTTGCATGTGAAACTGATGATCTGCCCTGTAAACTTTCACTCAATTCACAATAAAAACTTTTTTTAAAAAAGAAGGAATTGTTCCCAATTAAACACAAAGGTATTTCTGCAGAAATGAGGAAGCCAGTGAGTAGTATGAGCCGGCTTTGGGCAGTATAAATGTCCAGATAGTGGTTAGGACAGGGAATCAAGGCACTAAATATGCAACAGCCCCTTGAGGAACACTTGTCTGGGGTCCAAATATTAGGTGGATAGTTGGATTCCATGAGCACTGAAATCTTGTCAATCTTTGATTCTTTGATTTTAATTTCATTATCAACTTTGCCACTAATTTTGGCATCTTGAAAAAGCTACTTACAGAGTCAGCACCAACTTTTCCTCAGCAAAAGCAGCAGTATACCAAACACATCAAGACTTTAAGACTTATTTTCAATCAGCAAATACCCAAAGAATTAAACAATTCACACATTAGATAGAGGGCTGAATAAATATGGACAATTTTTAGTTCATATTTAATGCTGCTAAACATTGATGTCATTAATCTTTGATATGAAATCGTCCAAAATAACGATCCCGTTTTGGATAATTAAATGGATGTAGTCACTCTCAAGGGGGAGCACAGTGGCTCTGTCGGATAAGCACTGGACTGTGCACCATAAGGTTGGTGGTTTGAGCCCACCGGCTATGCCATGCATGGATGGAAAATGAGGCTTCCTGCTCCTGCAAAGATTTACAGCCTTAGAAACCCTGGTACAGGGTTGTTATAAGTCAGAACCAACTCCCCGGCACTTAACAACATGAGTCAAAACAGACTCAATGACACTTAACTACAGTCACTCTCAAGATACCTATTATATCTATATACCAGAGTCCTGGTGTGAAGCTGTGGGTTAATGTGCCAGACTGCAAAGCCATTTGAACTGCAAGGTCGGCGGTTCAAACTCACCATCAGCTCCTCAGAAACTCTATACATGGTTGCTATGGGTTGGAATCCACTCAACAGCACTTCACAACAACAATAACCAGTATATACATATATATATATACTTTTCAAAAACCAAATAATCCTTAAAAGATGCTCAACTTCAAAAGAGAAATACACATTAAATGTTCCCCGAAATACCATTTTCACTTAACCAATTGAAAATAACCAAGAGTTTGATGTATTTTGTTGGCAAGACTATAGGGAAACATTCTAGTGCACAGGTGGTGGCAGTGTAAAACAGTTGCTGTTGATGTCAAGTGCTTCCAACTCATAGCGACTATTATGTATAGGGTTTCAAGAGACAGCCAGTGAGCTTGAACCGCCAATCTTGCAGTTCAAGCTGACCTTGCAGTCCACCGCATTAACGCACAGCGCCACACCAGCACTCCCGTAAAATAGATAGTACAACTCCGAAATTTAGCCATCTTTTATCAATATTTCAAATGCATATGCCCTCTGACCCACCACTTCCACCTTCTGGAATATATCCTTGCATTTATACTTGCAAAGGAACACAGTCACAAGTTATTAATTGCAGCACTTTCAGTAATTACAAAAGACTAAAAGCAACTCATTGCCTATCAACAGGGGATTCCTTAAGTAAATTACTTAAATGCTACATAAAGAGAGAAAGACAATGAATGAGAGAGACCTAGGAAGGGCTCTACCGATAAAAACAAAAAATAAGAGCAAAAACTTCCCCAAGCTCTATTAAGTGAAAAAGCATGCATTGCATGCTCCCTAATGTCCATACACAATTATTCTAAAAGGAAGCTGGGAACAATGATTACATGTATGGGGCAAGAGATGGACAGTGATGGGCGCATGGGATAGAGTTGGAAGGGGACTTTTCTCTGTAAATCTCTTTATATTGTATTTCATTTTTTCAAATCAAATTTCCATATTACCAATTCGAAACTTTTCAACAGAATTTTCATTTTCTGAAGATTTTGTTTTCTCCAATAAATGCCTTACAGTGGAAGGTGCCAAAAAAAAGTACTACAGCTTTAGTCTTCGAAAGCTCATGTTCTGGTATGGGTAAATCCAGATTCCGATTTTAGCTCTACCATTTTCTAGTTGTGTGACATTATTATACAAATTACCTCTTCAGTCTCAGTTTCTCCATCTGCAAAATGGAAGGAAACAAAGAAACTCCTCCTTAGGCCTGTTAGGATATTCGAACAAGGAATATATGCTGGTCCCTATGACAGTAACTCTGGTAGCGTAGTGGTTACGAATCCGGCTGCGAACCTTAAGGTCAGCGGTTCGAAACTA